CCGGGGCAGCCACTGCCTGCGGGGAAAGGGGCGGCCCGGTCACGGCGCGGCCCCACCCCTGCCCCCGCGCGGCGCCCGGCCTCCTCCTTACCAGGTCCGCTTGTTGTCGAAGAAGAGGACCAGGTAGAGGTGCTCCCGCGCTTCCTGAGTCATCTGCTCGCCCAGCTTCAGCACCTCCAGGGGCGGCACGGGGATGGGGACGCCGTGGTGGAACATGCCCTCCCGCGGCATTTTGGGGTCGATGATCTGCCCGGGCGCGCAGCGGGGAGACAAAGCCAGGCTGGGGTGAGCGGGCGCGGGCCGGGGCCGGGGCCGGCCGCCCCAGCCCTGCCGGACAGCCGCGCAGCATCGTGCTCCCGCAGAAGCCCCGCTTTACACCACTACCGCTCGCAGGGGCTGGAGAGGTCTAGTCCAACCCCCTGCCTGAGGCAGGATCAGCCCTGTCCAAATCTTCCTATACAAGTACCGTCTAGACTCCTTGTAAAACTACCCTCGACCCTGACAGCAGACCTAACGCTTGCACCTGCCGCAGGTCAAGCAGGGACCCACGGCAGCCAACACCCCGCTTCTATCAAACGTCAATACACAGCCGAGGTCCCGCCCAGGGAGAGGCCGTGCCCCCGCTGCAGAGCAAGGCAACCCCCCAGTCTGTACCAATCGAACCATGGTATGGACTGACCCCAGATCTGGCATCAGTTTGACCCCAGGCACAGGGGCAAGACCCTCCAGCCAGGACCCTGTGGGGCTGGGCCCAGCAGTCCCAGCCCCAGCGCCCCTGGGGGAGGCTTAAAACCTCCGGCCACATGGAGCAGAGGATGGGGGAAGCCCAGAAGCCTGGGAAATCCCCACAGTAGAAGGAGATGCGGAGCGGAGCAGGGCCCTTTGTTCCAGACTGTTGCACTTGTAGCCCAGAAACACGGGATCGCTGGTTCAAGGCTCCCAGGGTAGCTCTGTGCTGCAGTCTCTGCCCATAAGAACGGATGGGCTGCTGTCCTGGGCCAAGCCACAGGTCCATCTAGCCCACGGCTGTATTGCAGCACCACGAAGCAGATGTTAAGAGCAACAGGATTCATACAGGGTCTACCAGACTGATCTGTTCCTGCCCTTACAGTTTCCTACCTTTAGAGGCCCAGGAAGGACCCAAATGGAGCCCGCAACCGTAGCTCTAATGGGTTGTTCCCACCACCCCGTCCAGCACAAGTCTGTCTGATCCTGATCTGACCCTGGTTGAACGGTCAGCTCTACAACCCTGTGCTCCACAAGTTAGCTACACGCTGTGTGCAGAGGAACGGCTGAAACCCGCTTCCTACGTTCACGTAAACAGGAAATCCCTACTGACCCGCCCACACTCTGCAGCCCTCTGTTGTATCCCGGGCTGGGAGGCCCGATCTCTCCCTGTCTAGAAGCCGTTCCAGACCCTGATCTTCCTTTCTGCCCCATTCTCAGTGCCCTGGTGTCTGTTAGGCAGCTGGGGGGAGCGTGGAGACGCAAGGTGTAGGAGCACTGGGGGCAGACCAGCGCTCCCTGTGCTGTGCTCGGTGATTCTCAGGTTCTGTTTGCCTGCTGGCAGCTGAGCCAGGCAGCAGCGGGCGCTCTCTCCATGGCACCAGGAATGCAGGAACAGGCAGTGCCTCCTGCAGGCCATCTATTCAGCAACAGCTGCCAGCCCCAGGGCAATCTCTGCTGTTAGCTGTGGGCCTTGTGCCACTCCCTTAATGAGACCATGTGCTTAGACCCCTGGCCAGTTGCATCCTACTTCACAGTGCCCGTGTCAGCATCCTGTGCTGTCTTGCCCTGACTGTGAGCATTCAGGGGCAGGCACTGGGGGCTACAGCTCCTGGCCCACTCCAGGTCGCTGGGGAGCAGAGCTCTAGTTTGCACACTGCAAGGGTCCAGGTGTGCAGGGAACTGGCAGTGCAGTGCTGCTGGAAAGGGAGTCCCTGTGCCCTATCCAACAGGTGACCAGGCAGTCTGGCTCCCTGTAGAGCCAGCACCTACACTGGATGGTTTGTGGCCGGGCCCCATACCTGGGTGGAGTAGTATGTGCCATACTCACCAATGCTGGGTATGACGGGTATCCCCGGCACTTGGCCCACACCAGGTCCAGGGCATCCAGAGAGGAGTCCTCGTCTTCTGACAACCACCCTGCCCCACGGCCAATGCTCTTCCGCACCACTGCACCAAAGGAGAGAGGAAGGGGGGGGAAGAGAGTCAGCACTGCCCCTCCCTGCCGCCGCAGGAGCTGGGATTGCTGTGCGAGAGCCCAAAACACTCACTGCTGTGCCCGACACCTCGCCCGGTGCCGACAGAGTAGGACTCATTCTCCGTCCCAGACGTGTCCTCGCTGCTGTCCTCTGGGAAGTTCACACGGGAGAAGGAGGGCTTCCCTCTGCCCTGCTTGGAGGGTGTGGTGCTGTGGGGGAGGGAGCGAGCAGTTAGCGGGCTGCTCAGAGCCGTGTAGGCGCTGGCTTCCTGCTCCAGCTGCAGTCAGCACCCTTGGGGAGAGGAAGATCCTTCTCCCATGTCATGTGAGAAGGGGGAGTAGGCTGCATGGCACCCCACAGCACTGCAGCCTCTGGAGGGGCAATGCTTGAGGGAGCTACCAGAGGCTGCAGGAGCCCACGCCCTGGGGGAGCTCTAGGCCAGGTGGGAGGCTGCCTGGCCGTGCCAAAGTGCCGCACCTGGTGCGATCGGAGGCCGCGCTGCTACTGCTGCTGCTGCTGGATTCTGAGTCAGAGCTGCTTCGGGGCAGGTTGCAGTCATTGCGGTACACCAGGAAGCTCTTCTTCACGGGTTGGTTTCCGCTGCTGAAGCAGTTGGCAGGCAGGGCTGCAGCAGACAGGCAGAGGGGCAGCGTGAGCTATGCCTGGCCCCCAGTCCTGACCCCCACAACAGACTCCCACAGGGCCAGGGCTGCCACACTCACCCATGGGAGGCTCCTCAGCAGATTTATCACTGTCGCTGTCCGAGCTGGAGCTCTGGTGCGGGCTCTTTCTTACCCTCTTCCGCTGCCGCTGTGACCCTCCCATTATTGGGAGCTGCGGGGGGCCGATAGGGCTGCTCCCATGTCCGGGGACCAGCTGGCTCTCCCGATTCTTGGGAGGGCGCCCTGGCCGCTTTGGGGGTCCTGCAGTTTTGGGGTTCTTCTTGGAGAAGAGCACAGAAGTTCTACGGCCAACTTCATGCGCTGGGGTGGAGGAGGAGTTGGGGCCCAGGCCTAAAACAGAGGTGGGGGGGAAGCAGGTGTCAAGCCCACCTGAGCCCGACATACAGAAAGGAGGGCCAGCCCTGGGACTTCTCCTCCGGAGAGCTGCCTTGCGGGGTTCTCACTCTGGTGTGGCTGGGTTCTGTTTTGGCAGGTGCAGCTTCAGCTGCTCCCTTGTTTTCCCAGGCAGCGAGTCCCACGCAAGCCAAGAGAGCAAAACCAGTAGCAACGGCTTGCACTGATTCTGCTCTGCCACTACGCTTGAGAGGAGGGGACCTCAGCTGCACTCCAGAGAGAAGTGGGGACCCACTGCAGCCTCTCCTGTTGGAGGGGACCAGGCTACTCCAGGCCAGACTTCAAGCATGCTGGCTGTGACCCCCACTCTCTGCAGGGAGCTGCCCTGCCCCCTCTTTTGCTGCAGGGACACGGCAGGGGGAGCCTCTCCACTCCACGCCCCTATTCACACATCAGCCCCCAACTCTGTTGGGGCTTGGGCCCCCATGCAGCCACTACCTTTGCCAGTTTCCTGGCTGCTGCTCTCCTCAGCTGCGCTGTCGGTCTGTGTGTCCTTCTCACAGGGGTTGTGGGGCTGCAGGATGCCCCTGGCAGAGCCCCCGTGCCTATCCATCACCTCCCGGCCCAGCTCCCGTGGGTGTGCGAGCTTCCGGCGCAGGATGGTGATCTCCTTCTTGATCATCTTGGCTCGGCGGGAGCGCCCAATGCTCTGCTTCCCTGTGTTGACCTCATCCAGCCGCTCCAGCAAGATCTTCAGTTGCTCCTCCAAGGGCAGGTGCTTCTGGTTCTCTGTCAGCAGCAGCCGTGCATCCTCTGGGGGCAGAGAGAGGCACATGGGTGAGAGGCATGGAGCTCTCCTGGTCCCACAAGAGGATGGATGAAAAGCACAGGGGCAGCACAACATTGGTGGGGCCAGCAGCATGCTTCCACCTGGCACCAGGGAGTGACAAGAACAGGGCACTGGGGTGCAGCAGAGAGGAAGTCAGCACAGCCTGGACAATTGCGGGGCAGGGAAAGGATAGTCCCCTCCCAGGCACAAGGACATCCCCACACCCTTAGTCCCTGCTCAGCTCCTGGCCTCTCCACCCCACTGGGCTGCCAGACTGTCGCAGGGCAGGGATGAACCTGGGCAGACAAGATCATCTCTCTCAACCAGGGGTTCTGCTCCACACACTCACTGCAGGCTACAAGAGATGCCGGGACCACAGTCAGGGACTGGAGGGAAGAGATGCCTGGCCAAGGGGCACATAGCAGCAGCTGTCCATGGGCAGGAACCACCCCGCAGCACGCGGGTGAATGAGAAGGGGCTTGTGTTCCAGCCAGAGAGAGAATCTACCCAGGGGCACAACACTACACTGACCCGTCCCCCGGGGGGGACCATGGCAGGGAAGTCCAGCTCTCAAGCGCCTGTTTCACTTCTTTCAGGCAACACTGTGCAGTCAGGCAGCAAGGGCACCCCCCCCCACCCAGCCTGGCAGCTCACCACACACTGCCAACAGGGACAATGCTGAGGATTGGTTGGGGGGGAAACTCAGGCCACTGCAGGGCCAGAAGCTGCCCAGAACAGCTCTCTGGCCCCAACTGGAAATGCAGCACTGCCCCATGCTGCTGTACAACAGCCTCAGTGGGAGCAGTGCAAGGAAGAGACCCCACCAGAAGGATGGGGGTGGTGGACAACACATGTTCAGGACTGTTTCTGCCCTGCCCAGGCCCCCAACAATCTTTTAAAACCCCAGCTCTAACTCCTGGGTCAACCCTTTGATCCCCAGGACTGGGAGTTGGTACCCACCATCCTCGATGCCCATGCACTGAGCATCGTCCACAGGCATGCAGTGAGGGAAGTGCATGCCTGTCTCAAAGTCGATGCCCATCTTGTCTGCCTGGCGGCGAGCCTGGCGCAACACAGCACCCCCCTGCTCTCGCAGCCGGATGGCCGCCCGGTAGAAGATGGTGTCCTTGGCATTGTACTTCAGGCAGTTATTGATGATGAGGTTGAAGTCCTCCTCGAAATCATCGAAGTTCAGGTAGCGATAGGCCTCCAGGTTCTGTTTCATAGTTTGGAAGTCCATCGGCTTCTTGATGTGGTCCAGGTAGTCTGGGACCTGCAAAGGAAGGCACCAGAGCTCAGAGGCAGGAGCCCCACCTCGTGACCACCTGCTCTAAGAAAGTGGCTGTTAGAGGCTCTGCTCACTGGTGCTCCATCCCAAACGCGCCTCCTGCCCTGCGTGACCAGAGGGAATGGCAAAGCCCCAGAGCTCCTGGATCTTGGATCTGGCTCCGCACTCTGCCTGAGTGCTGCAGCTCACAGAAACGCAAGGCAGAGCAATGTGGAAGTGCCCCCAACCCCAGCATGTTCCTGACCCAGCTGGGTCCTCCGGCCTGCAGGCCACAGCATCCAGAATTAATTCCCCGGGGCAGAGCAGCAGTTTGCTTCCATTCCTGGGATGGCGGAGGCGTGGGGGTGACACACAAACCAACGAGGTGGAGCCGGCAGCAGCGCAGGCAGGGACGCCCTGACACTGCTGCAGCACCTGGGCCCAGACTAGCAGCCGCTGGCTGTGCACAGTTCCCCCCAAGTGGACTGTAACCCACAGCCTTGAGCCACGCTTCCCACTGGGCCGGGGGCTGCTCGGAGGCCAGACGCTGTTGCATCCATTCCCGGCTCCACCAGCGGTGCACCTGAGGGGCAGTGCGAAGCATGACATTTGCCGGCTGCCAGCATCTGCCATTCCCGGCAGGAAATCCCGCTCCCCCAGCCTGGCCTGCCGCATGCTGAGATCACCGACGTGCACAAAGAGCACGGAGCCTTTCAGCTCTCTGTCAGCAGCAGCCGCCAGCCCGCAGGGTGTGAGCCACAGCCAAGCTCAGCCCGGTCAGCAGGGCAGCATCTCTGCCCTGCATCCCCTCAACAACCGCCACTGGGACAAGCTGGCCTGCTCCCAGCTGCCCCCCGGCCACGCCAGCGGTCTGGGTGCCCGTGCACGAGCCCGGGTCGAGTGCGAGTGAAGCAGAAAGCTGGGGGAGGGGGTTCTTACTTCGTAGAGTTCTGTTACCTCAGACAGAGGGACCGGCTCGCTGAAGATGTTGCCCGTGTCCTTCTCCTGCAGCTGCTCCAGAGTCTTGCGGAGGAGGATGAGGAAAGGGGTCAGCTGCATTTCCAGTGCCACCTGCTGGACCTTGATCTGGAACACACAGACACGGTGCCTCTGAGCCGGGAGCTTTTGCTCCCATGCATGGCGCCTGTCCTGGCCAGGCATCCAGGGCCACAGGCCCCACAGACCCACGCAGGAAGAAGCAGCCACTGCAGACGTCACCCTGCCCACACAATAGCCACACACAGGGGCCTTGGCACCAGCAGAACTGGTTCCAGCTCTGCCTGGTGCTGCCCTGGGAAATGGAGGCAATGTCTCCCCCAGCCCCATGCCCCACATGCAGGGCACAGCACAGCGAGCAGAGGGGCTGAGGGTGATGGTCCCCCAGGAGGGCTCGCAGTCCTTACCGTCTCTCTCTTGAGCTTCTCTCTCTTGCGGATCAGTTCCACCAGCAGGCGTGCGCGCTCCAGGTCATGGCGGAGGCGCTGCCAGGATTTCAGCTGCTCCTTGAGGGCCCAGTTCTTATCCTCAGTGTCTCTCTGCAGGAACAGCAGAGGCTATGGGATGGGTAGGGACACAGCCCCCCCATGTCAACAAGCTGGGACAAAGGGTGCGGGGGGGCTTGACGCGCCATTTCCACCAGGGTTCACGTTTCATTACTGACAGCCCCGTCTGGGTGCTCACATCTGCCGCCCCCCCCACAGGCTTTGGCAGGGGTCACTGCCTGCCAAGTCTGTGATGCCAAGGGCGGTAGAGGCTGCTGGAGCAGCAGTGGCAGACACCCAGGGCTGTCCTTCCCACGTGAAACTCCAGGCACCACATGCAGCAAATGCTCTGCGCCCCGGGCTGCCTCCTCACCAGGCAGGAAGCCCCTACCTGATCGCAGTTCCTTTGAGACTGCAAGTGTGTCTGGAGCCGGCGCAGCAGAGGGACCCCATTGCGGGACTGCCTCTTCAGCGTCCAGTAGCTGTGAAGCCTCTGCATGAACTGGCTCTTCCTCTGGATGGTTAAGCGGTTGGTGATCTTACTGAGCCTGAGGGAAATGAGAAAACGCATGCAGTCAGCCACAGCAGAGTCTGAGCTGCCAAAGGTACTACTGGCAGGCCCTGCACTGCTGCTCTATGTGGCTACAGGGACTGCTGCAATGCCAGGCGAGCTGGCGGCACAGGAGAGCCTCAGAAAGGCAGGGGCTCCCCTCTTGCTTCTCTGGAGGTGGGGCAGATGCCACATGAGCTCAGAGGGCCGGTTACCCTCTTCCCCACAAACCCCCCCCGGGGGACCAGGCGGGGGATGGTGCACGAGAGTAACAAAGCAGCCAGGCATCCAGCAGCCTTGAATCACACGCGTCACGGTAGTGCCCGGGCCTGCTGCTGGGTTCAGACAAGGCGCCCCTCGGGCGAGCCTGCAGCGTACAGTCAGCGAGCATGAGCTGACCAGCAGCAGGGAGGCAGCAGGACTCTCCTCCACAGCAGTGCTGTTGCAGCCACACCAGGCACTCTGGCGGGCAGGGAAGTGAATACAACAGAGAGCAAACATTGTTATGCACATGTGGGGGAGGCATTTAGGAGGGCAACCAGCCAAGTGGGTGAGAGAGAGGGCAGGACACTGGTACAGGGGACACCCAGGGGGGAGCTGAGCTGGGGAGGTGCAGGGAAAGGGCTGGAGCAAACAGCCCGCAGCACAGGGCAGAGACCACCCAGCACAAACTGCAGGTAATTCAGCCTGGCCAAAGGTCCCTGCTGCAGCTGCTTCTAGTCTCTGCGGCTCCTCCCTCAGGGATGTGGGAGTTGGGCAATGAGCAGGGCAGGGAGAGAAGGAGGTTCCTGGGAGGCGTGTGCTCTGCCTCTGGGGCCAGCCAACGCCTGCTGCACAGGCCCATACATGATCCTCACCACACCCAGCCCACGGGTGCACCTGCCAGGGCTGCCTTCTGTTGCCACAGACATGCAGGCAGCACTTAAAGCCAGCCCCAATTAGCAGCGTCTCAGGCTGCTCTGCATGCTCCAGACTGTAGCACACTTAGGGAACTGGCAGGCAGGTCCCCTGGGAGGCAAGTCAGAGAGGTAAAGCAGTCCAGGAGAGCTGGCTGGATTTCAAGGAGGCCCTCTGAAGGGCACAGGAGCAAGCTACCCCAATGCAATGGAACAACAGGAGGGCAAAGGAGGCCAGCCTGGCTAGGCTCTCTTCAATCTCCAGTGAGCTGAAGCTCACAGAGGAAGCCTACAGAACTTGGTCACAGCACTAGGGAAGAGTACAAGAGCACTGCATGGGCGGGCAGGGAGAAATTTAGGAAGGTCAAGGCATGATTTGAGATGCAACTGGCAAGGGCTTTAAAAGGCAATAGAAACAGGTCCACATGTCAAGAGGAAGAGGAAGAGCAGAGAAATTGCAGGCTCCCTATGGAATGCAGAAGGCAATCTAGCTATGGAGGATGCAGAGAAGGCTGAAGCATCTAATGCCAGTTTTCCTTGACATTTCACAGATAGGGGCAGCTACCAGATGATGGGTGCCATTGGCAGCAAAGATAGGGAAGGGGACAAATAGCCTTGAGTAGAACAGGTTAGGGATTACTTAGAGAAGTTAGGTGCTTTCAAGTTGGCAGGGCTGGGTGGGATGCACCCAAAGGTACTGAAGGAACTGGCTGAGGTAATGTCAGAGTCATTAGCTCTCCTCTTTGAGAACTCGGGGAGGTTGGGTGAGGTCCCAGACCACTGGAAAAAGGCACATACAGTGCCCACCTTTAAGAAGGGAAAGGAGGAGGATCTGGGGAACTACAGACCAGCCAGCCTGACCTCAATATCTGCAAAGCTCATGAAGCAGGTCCTCAAGAACTCTATCGTGAAGCACCTAGAGGAGAACCAGGTGATTGGGAACAGCCTGTCTGAGTTCACCAAAAGCAAGCTGTGCCTGACCAACCCTAATTCCTTCTATGATAAAGTGACAGGCTCTGTGGACAGGGGAGAGCACCGGATATGATATACCTTGACTTCAGCAAGGCTTCTGACACCATCTCCCATGACAGTCCCATCAACAAGCAGCAGCGGAGGAAAGTGAGGCTGGAGATGAGGAGGACCGTTCTGACGCCGAGGGCGGGCAGGCGCTGGAACAGGCTGCCTAGAGACACCGTGGAATCTCCATCTTTGGAAGTTTCCCAGGGCAGGCCGGACAGACATGGGGCCGGGATGGTTTAGTTAGGGAGGACCCTGCCTGGAGCAGGGGCTGGACTAGTTGCCCTTGCGAGGCCCCTTTCAGCCCAGCTTTCCCATGATCCTGCCATCTAGCAAGGCAGACCAGCATGCATGCAGCTCATCAGCATGTCACACAGCAGCAAAGCCTGCAGGAAAGGAGGCTGCAGACCAGCAACAGAACACGAGGCCAGCTGAGCTGGGAGAGGCTGCAACACAGCCAGAGACCTGTCGCCACTGTACGCCATGCCCCAGCCCTGCTGCTGAGCAGCCTTCATCTCTGGGAAGCAAGCCCCACATTTCTGCCCAGGGACTGGACCTAGGCTCAAAGGCCCAGCCCTGCCCAGCCCCGAGCACATGCTCTGTGGAAGAGACATGCTGCCATGAGGCAGACAGGCCAGAAGCACCATGGTCACTTCCTGGGCTCGGCTCCTCTGTGCTCCCCGTCTTGCTACCCCAGACGAGGGAGCGTGCAACAAACCGAAGGGGGACAAGATCACACTCAAAGGAGCCAGCCAGCAGTATTGCCGCAGTGTCTCCTGAGGCCGGGAACTCACCAGGCTCCAAAGGGGCTGCTGTATGCTCAGGGCTAACGACCACCCAGAGCTCTCACAGTCCATGCTTACACATCTCGACAAGGACAAAAACGTCCCACGCCAGGGCTTAGGCCAGAGCCTGTGTACAGGAGACCGCAGGAGATCTAACATTGAATTACTCCCCAGCTGCTCCTGTTCCCCTCTCAGAAACACGGGGCTGGGCAGGATGGGCCTCCAGTCTAGTTCTCCCTCACTGCGACTCTCGTGTTCCCCAGCAGCTGCCCTAGCCCCGCAGGTGATCAAACCTAGGACACTGGGTCCCACAAACTGCACGGATATCAGAGGGCTGGCTGGGACTCAGCAGGAGGCAGCTGACTGGGGCCAGCACAGATGGTGAGAAGTGCAGGCATGAGCTGGGGTTTCCCAGGAGCGAGCCAGGTTCCAGCCGCGCTCAAGAAGGGAGGTTCAGACAGGGCTGGGAACCCTGACCTCTGGGGCTGGGATGAAAAGACAGCTGGAGGAGAGCGTCAGCTCAGTCCCAGCCTGGCCAGCTCGGCCAGACCGCAGTCACCGGCAAAGAAGTCTCAGTTACGAAGCCCCCACCTCTCCACAGAGGCAAAGGGGAAACTAGCCTGACAGCTAACAGCTCCCCCTCTCTGGCAACAGCTTGTTCCTGTGTCCCTGAGATCGGTATAACAGGAAAGAAGCCCTGGGAACCCCCAGCTGCTTCCTGGCACATCCAGCTGGGCTCGCTCTCTGCCGCTGGTCTAACGGCACCAACTTCCTGCCTCTTCCAGGCCAGCTACCTCCATGACACCACAGCACAGCGCAGAGCAGAGGCGTAGGCCCCTGAGCTCTTACCCAAGAACAAAGCCAGCAGGGGCTTGCTAAGGTAGGTGGTGGGGAGGAGGGGAGAGGCAGTGCTGGGGACAGTGAGGCCGCCTGTAAGCGAGGGCCACACCTGAGCTACAAGCAGTAAGGCAGAGGGTGGAGAGGGAGGTACCTGGCCGTACCTGTGCGGGGGGATGCAGGGCACGGAAACCACCGGTGCTGCTGCTCGCTTCTCGGCCAGGATCTTCCTTGCCTTCTTCATTTTGATCCTGGACTTGGCCTTTGCCTTCTTCACCTTCTCCGAACTCCAGCCTTTGCCCTCTTCTTCCTCCTCCTCGTCTTCCTCCTCCCCTTCACTGTGAGAGAGGGCAGGGAGCCGGCGCATGGAGCCCGGGGGCGTGTGAATGTCGCAGTAGGCTGTCTTGCGCACACTGAAGGAGGTGCCGTTTGCTCCCGTCTCGCGGACAGGCTCCATCTTCATGTAGAGTCCAGCCTGCTGGGCACAGGTCACGTGGAAGGCAGTGTAGCAGTTGGCCTTGTGACACTGGATGCAGGCCCCGGAGCCACGCTGCTTACAGATGTAGCAGGTCAGCTTCCAGCGGGCTGGGGGGATGTGCTCGATGCTGTCGATGGGCTCTAGAAACACCGTGTTGGCAAAGCACACCTCCGGGATCCAGAGGGCACAGACCACGTGTGCCCAGCGCCCATCGTCCGTCTGTTTGAAAGCTCCACCCTTGTTGGGGCAGAGGGCACAGTCCACAGCCCGGGAGGGTGACTGCAGGCACCTCCTGCACAGCCACTGGCCCTCGGGGATGTAGGGCACGCCATAGCACTCCTGGTGAACAGCCAGGTTGCACATGTCGCAGAAGAGGATGACGTTGCTGTTCTGACACTCCCCGTCGTTGCAGATACAGCAGACTGCGTCCTCGTCAACCAGCGCGTTGGGGTCCCCCTTGTTGTGGCTCTCAAAGTAGGACTCCTTCTCCAGCCGGTCCATCAGGTACTCAAAGATCTCCTGGGGGATGGGGCTCACACCCTCCGTCTTCCGCCGCTCATTCATGATGTCCAGCCAGATGTAATCCTCCTCATCCATGTCATACTCCACCTCCTCATCCAGCTCCTCGGCTGACTTCTCAATGTACCTCAAAGAGAAGGGGAGAGGGAATGAGCACCCAGCATGGGTGCAGGCCCACGCAGCCAACCTCAGGGAGGGAGGGGAGAGGTTAGACCAGGGGAGTTTTGCTGTGGCAGCCACAAAGCAGCTGTGACCCAGGAAGAGCAGGGATGGAGAAGGGACCCGGGAAGCAGGGTGCGCTGCAGCTCGCACCCATTCTCCAGCACCCACCAGAGTGGCGGCACAACGCGGCACCGCCGCCTGAGCTGGACTACACAGCGCTCCCCGAGCTGCGAGGGAGGGAGCACGGGGCACTCGCTGATACAAGACAACCGTGGGGAACCTGCGCGAGCCCCGCGGTTGCTGCTCTGCGGCCACTGCTCAGTTTCACGGCACGGCAGTGCCAGGTTCCTGCGTCCTGGCGCTTGTGCAGCAGGTGTCCCTGGCACTCGGGAGGACAAAGGAGGTGCTCCCGTGTACGGCCAGGCAGAGGCAGCTGCCTCTGCTCCTCCCCTGCCAGCCGTGGGTGGAGAGCATTATTTGTGTTGTTATTTTATTTATTTATTTACTTATTCACAAAGTCTGAGCTCGTGGTGCCTTGCCCAGCCGCAGCAGCAGCCAGCACGCACAGACACGTGGCTGGGGAGGCATCTGCTACAGCCAGCAGCACCGGAGCAGCGCCGACATCGTGCTCTGCAGCGGACACGGCAGGGCCCGGGGAGCTGTGCAAGCGCTCCCGCCAGCTCGCAGCGCTGACCTCCACGAGGTGCTGAGGCAGCTCACCCGCTCGGCCACGGCCAGTCATCTCTGG